TAATCAATTATTTTGATGATTTAATAATTGCCAATCATTTTCATTAGCGCATTGGCATTTTCACATTTTCATAATTCCTTGATCCATCTTCAAACTTAAATAACTAAATGGACGACCAAAAACGGTGACACCAATTTGAGCTTCATCGAAATGAGACGAGTGGAATCGATTGAATGGCATCCTTGGTTTTCTTTAAATACCATTTTCAGAAAAGAAAATGTTCATTCATATATCAGATAATGATTCCCTTTGAATTTAAAATCTTTCCAGATTCATTTTTGAGAAAAAGCTAGAGACTTTTCTATAAAAATTGATTCAATTACGCTAATTGAGTAAATTTTTGAATAAAGACAAATCCATTAATAATTCCCGGAAAAATGTTTCATTGAATATTAAATAAAGAATACATGCATTTATTGGAAAATGTATAAAGTAATTTTCATTTTTACCGATAATTATTCACACAGAATGTGTCATCAGTTTCATAGTTTCATCGGAAAACATTTGAAACGAGTGGAAACGATGAACGCGGAGAAAACAGATAAAACGATAGAAAACGTTAGATTGAAGTGAAAGAAATTTCAAAGCCATATCTGTCCGTTTGTCATTGTCTCTGTTAATCGCATCTTCTTATAAATACTAAAATATTATTTTTGAGATCTTAAAAAAGGTTAATACAATTTGTGCTCATTCTTTCTTTTTTAAGCATCCATTAAAAATTGAAATTATCATAAAAAACAAATTCATGTCGATGTTTTTGTGTAAATTATTGTAAAGTGTTGGTTCCACAAAATACTAATTATCATTTCATTCTTACGCAGTTTCGCAATGAGTTATCCAGAAAAGAAGTCAACATTGTCACACTCACATAACCAGAGCCATAATGCAGATGCGATTGCGGGTCCATCAAACGACGAATCTCCGCCGAAAATATTCAAATTGAACATCGATTGCTTTGACGAGATATTTGAATATTTGAACGTGAAAGATTTGCATTCATTCGGTCAAACATGCAAGCGAATGAACAAAGTGGCCGGCGAATATTTCAAACAAAATTATTCATCGGCTGAGAATTTCTGCGAAGAAGATGGAATTCACACAGTTTATTCGGACACAGACGATGCAAATATGCGCATTCTAACATCTGGTTTTAATAAGCTCATGCCCCGCATTTCAACTGATTATTATCGTTCTCTCGATGAATTAAAAACCGGTCCACTCAAATATATTAAATCGCACATCAGTGAATTTGAATCAATTAACCACATTTATCTTTGGGATTTATATATTTTTAACGAAACAGTTGAGCATTTTAAACCATTGTTCCCTCAACTGGAAATTCTTCAACACCGAAACTGTTCGATGGATGGTGATTTTTACGATTTGATACTGAAACATTGTAAGAATTTGAGGGAGATTTATGTTCAAGATTCGCAAGTTGGTGACCGGATAAATGGTAAACACAACTGGTTATTACAAGAATATCCAAAGCTTGAACGCTTAGAATTGATTCCTCGTGAAACTCACCAAAGAAGAAATGAAGAACTACGTAATTTTTTCGTACGCAATCCAAATGTACAGAGATTTTCAACTATCTACAAATGTTTGTGGTACAACGCTGACACATTCTTAAATTCCAATGCAAAATTGGATATATTTGAGGTCAAAAGATTTTACACTGAAAGATGGCCTTCCTCATATTATAAGCAAACGTTAGAATTATTAAATCGACTCCATGAACAAGGCTTCTATAAACGACTATACATTTACGTCAATCGTGTTGATGAAGAGAACAGCATTTTATTTGCCTCACTCAAAAGTTTCGAGTTATTGTGCATTGACTGGTTTGACAAGAGTTATAATTTAGCTCAATTAACCAATCTGAGAGAGTTAATCATTTTGGATGTATCGGATGTCAAGGATATGGAGATCTTAGCAAATGGCCTTACGAAACTCGAACGTCTTTACATTGATTGGGCTAAAATCGATGACATTATGCCATTCATCTGTTGATCACTGAAATTGAACAAAATCAAATTCATACCACTGGACAAAGGTATGATTTTGAATTTGGCAATGTTGAATAGTGAACGTGCCAAGTTGGTCGGAGCACGAAAGATAACGATTTATACGCGTGATGATGTCTTCTTGGCCACTAAATGGACGACCAGAAACGGTGACACCAATTTGAGCTTCATTGAAATGAGACGATCGGATTCATTTGAATGGAATCATCATTATCGACCATATTCATTTTAAAATATAATTTTTTTGAAAAACGATTTTTTTTTTTAAATCTTCATTCAGATCAATATTCCACTTAAATTTGAAACCTTTGCAGATTCATGTTTGAGAAAAAGCTATAGACATTTATATAAAAATTGATTCAATAAAGTTTCTTAAGTAAATTTTTGAATAAAGACAAATCCAGTCATACAATTATCAATATTTTACCATCAATTAAGAGCCCAAGACCCAAAAGAAATTATAAAATTTGTTTTCGGAAAAACAGCATAAGAAATTATTGAGCGCAAAACGAGAATATATACCCAAGTAGGATTTTAGTAACGTTTTCCCTACAAATAGATGTAACGTTTTCACATACATTTGAGCATCAATATGGGTCGATTTAACCTGGTCAGAGTTGGTAAATGCACCTCACAACTGCGCGCATTTATAATTTGTGTGCAACTCTTCTTGGGTGCGCGCACCTGATTTTATATAGATTTTGGATGCCGCACTTGGAATATTTTTGTTGTTTATTTTAATAAGTAAAAAACACTTCTTTGGAAGTTCTCACTGTGACGCAATACTGCACATCAAATCTGAAAATGATCTGATATAAATTTTCAGTGACGCTTGCAATCAAATACACAAACAATTTTTATATTGCGTTGCCTCTTGGGCATAAAATTTTCATTTTTATTTTTCTAAAAATGAGAGAGGCAACGCAATATAAATAAAGAGGCTTACGTACGCAAGCTGACTTTTCCGCATGGAACCG